AAGTACAAGTTTATTTATGCGAGATGAATTAATTGTCTTGCTGGTAAGTGATAAACTTGACAAATTCACACATTTTTCTTGTAAATTAGCAATTCGTGACATTTTCCAACATCTGGGGAATTTTGCAGTAATTGTAAGAAATTTTATTAAGCGCAAAGTTCAGAAACTACAAACTAGACAGACGTGTGCCATTATTAGGGAAAAAGAAATTAATTAATCTCGAGGAGGCGACTGACATTCAAATATTCAGTTAATTGTTGAGTCTGTTTGCGCTTTGTACATCCTCGTTTGAGGCAGTAAAAATCAGCAAAAAGGATCAGGAACTAAGTTACGGTATCCACAAAGCCCCCAAATTCCAAGCAAAGTAATCCTTCCTAATGATAATCACGCAGAAAGCATACCCACCACATAGAGGAAGTGTTAAGTTACTCGCTTGAACCGGACATCCCCATTTCATCTCTCCAATTCGCAAAGAGGGATAATTCAATTTCGCTGAAAACCGTAAAGCCAAAAATGACACCAACACGTGTCGACTTTCGGTAAAATTCGACGATTTAAATTCCTTCTGTGGTAATTAGAAGCATCTGGCGAGTTTTTGTTGTGAGTTATTCCGTTATTGGTGCCAATGCAGGTTTGTTATATTTTGAAAGGTGGTTTCTGATGCGGGTTTGATGACGCACTTGTGTCTTTTTTAATCTGCACAGCTGACGCGGGATATAATGGCGATGCAGGCGCGGAAAAGCTCTCGGGAATTTCCTTATCCTGGGCTTCCTGCGGGATTGAATTTAATTTTGGGATGCGAGTGCACTAACACAGGCACTCTTTTACACAAATAAAGAAGTAATTTTTGTAATTTAATTTGTGAACGACAAATAACACGAACATAAAACTCATTATTTGTCAAAAATTCATTTGCCTTAAAAAACTTTTGATTCAAGCTTAAAAAAATAGTGACATTTCGAGCAAGAAACACAATTATTTATTAGTCTAAAATAAAGCAAAAAATCATCAAATTAAATCAAAAATTACATTTTTGTCTTTTCCAACGTTTCACAATGTTTTTCAAGCAGAAATACAGTTATTTCACGAAATTACGAGAAAAAGAAGCCAAACAAAACCAATTTAAGTTATAAATGGTATTATTTTTGCCCTGTTTCGAACGTTTAAGAACGTTACTAAGCTAGACATTCAATTTTTTGCAAAATTTCGTCAAAAATACATCACAAGAGATCGAAAATGACATCATTTTTGCATTTTTCGGATCAGATCAAGTCATTTTGGGCAAAAAACAACAAAAACACCAGATTATTACAATATTTGTTTTTTAAGAGTTTATTTTTGCAAGAATTCGATAAACCGGGTCGAGAAATCACTAAATTCGGTCAAACATAGTACTATTTTTACTTTTTGGAAGCTTTACATAACGTTTTTCAGATAAAAATACATTTACTTCACGAAATTACTTGAAAATAAGCCAAATAACACCAAATGAAGTCATAAATAGTATTATTTTTGCCCTTATTCGAACGTTTAAGAACGCTATTAAGCCAAAGCTAAACTCTCAATTTTTTGCAAAATTTCGTCAAAAATTCATCAAATTAAATCTAAAATGACATAATTTTTGTATAATTTCGAATGTTTTAGTACGTTGTTCAATCAGGTCAGGTCAAGTCACCTTTTTTTATAATATTTGCTTCAGTAAAGGTTTATTTTCACAAGTATTTGTTAAACCCTGTCAAAAAATCCCCTAATTCAGTCAAATATGACACTATTTTTACCTTTTTCAAGCGTTTCGAAAGGTTTTCAACGAATTTACGAAAAAGAATACTTAAGTCAAAAATTACCAAATTCGTTTAAAAATAGCATTAGGTATTTTTACCTTTTTTGAAAGTTTCAGAACGGCTCTTAAACAAAAATACATTTATTTCACAAAATTACGTAACAAATAAGCGAAAAACCAGCAATTTGGGTCAAAAATGAGTTGGTTTTTTTTGCTTTTTGTCAGTTAGAAACGCAGTAGCTTTGTAAATTATTATAAAAAAGTAAAAAAAACAAGAAACTACATTGTCATAATATTTGCTTTCTTAAGAGTTTATTTCAGCAAGAAATCGTAAACCTGGTCGAGAAAAAACTAAATTCGGACAAACATAGCACTATTTTTACCTTTTCCAAGCGTTTCATAACGTGTTTATCAGACAAAAATACACTTATTTCACGAAATTACGTAAAAAATACATAACGTTTCAGAACAGTATTCAGACAGAAATACATTTATTTAACAAAATTACCGAAAAAATAAAACAAAACCCAGCAATTTAGATAAAAAATGTGCAGTTTTTGCTCGTTTTAGTTAGAAACGTAGTCATTTTGTAAAATTTTGTCAAAAAAGTAAAAAAAATCCCTAATTTATAACGTAAATGATATTATTTCGCTAAAATCTTGTTATCAAATTAGATAAAAATTACATTTTTGCGCAATTGAGCTCTATTTGATTGTTTACCACATTTATTTCCAAGACAGTAAGTTCTATTTACTCGTTGCTATCTCAAACTCGTCGGTAAGTATTTTGTTTATTGTTGCTAAGTCGGTAAGCATTCAAAATGTTCTTGAATGGCAAAATACTTAGCCGTTCAAGAACATTTTTAAAATATTTTATTAAAAAAAAACTAATAAAAACCAATCGCGAAAAAAAATGTTATAAACATCACGAAACAGTTGTCTTCGATCGGTAAAATGTCCTTACCGTTCTTGATGCTTAATATCGAGCTTAATATACTATATTTTTGACTTTTTCGCGTTTTCAGCGAAAACTAGAAACGCAAAATTTCATTTGTTAGCTAAAACTTTACTCGTCCTGCTCTGAACAACAATTTGATCGTTTATACATATTTTTTTCTTCTTTAAATAATACGAGTAGTTATTTCGTTCTGGGAATCCTTTTTTAAACTTTTTTTTCGAGTTGGATATTTTATTTATCGTATGAATACCAACAATAAAATAAATAATAATGAATAATGCTAATTTCCAAAAAAAAATTTGGTTTCCCTTGCGATTAAAATTTAAAATCAACCCTCAAAGGAGCTTTCTCCTCCAAAGCCTTATTAAGTTCCGTGTATTTGATTAAGACACCTTTTTTCCGAGCGATTCCCCGGAGTCTTCGCTAATTGGACAGGACATTGCTTGTTTTGATTGTATTAGAGACGATTTGTGGTTGTTCCGGGGATAACTGTCGATACCTCCGGATTAACGCATTGTCAACGTAACGTAAACAAAGCGGTTGTTTATCTCTGAAATTTTCCTTTCCCTCCCTATTCTATTTACATAAAACGATAAAAGTTTTCATCTATTTCGACCGAGTGTAATTACGACGTTGAAACTTTTTGCACGAGTGAGAGGTAAACGTGTTTAATCTATGTCACATCACGATGACGCTGAATTTCTTAACGACAAAAGAATGGAATGTTGCTTTTCATGATTATAGTGTAATAACCGACTCAAAGGATTGCACAGAACTTACGAGGATTCACCGCCTTGTACAGGATTAGTTCCGCCGAAAATGATTCTTATTTACAAAAAGCGTTTCAATTTATGCTTTGTAGTTTCATGACGGCTAATAGATGGAGAAAATTAGCTCCCAACCCTCACTATTATAACCCCGAAATTCCAAATTCACATTTTTCGTCGTAAATTCGCAAATCAAAAATCTCATTCACTCCTTGGCGCTCCTCTCGCCCCCATAACTCACAATACTCAATGAAAACGCCGCAATATTTCACCACTAGCAAAATTCACTTGGCGCATTTTAAAAATATGAAACGTCTTAACGCCCCCTCATTTCGCACAAAAAATCAATAGCTCTCTTCCATTACAACAAAAAATCAAACTCACCTCATCGGCTTAAACAACGCCTGAAGATGGTTAGGGTAATCTATCACCAGCTTGAGTTGAGTGCCGCCGCTTTTTTGGGCTGTAACAAAAAAAACTCATATTAAAAGAAAAAAATGTTAATTCGTGCCGGGATAGAGAACAATTATTGTTTCATCAAGTTGGGTAAACTACCCTCGAATGCATAAAAGCCCGGAAACTTTACAAAATATTTTAAACAGCGTAATTACAACTTCAATTCGCTATGGGATGAATTTTTATTAACGGAAAGTGGCGTCGACATAAGGTTGTCTGCATTTTCAGCGCCATTTGGTTGATGGGTTCCAGGGCTTTCAGTGGATTAAAGTGCAGGATTTGCGACATATTTTAAAAAAATAAAAAAACAATCCAGTAATTAACATTAAAATATAATTTTTTGATGCACTTCGTGTCATATTTATTAAAAAGTCTGAAAACTTTTCTTTCATTTAAAATTCGACAATTTCGCATGCGAGTGAATTACTATCATTAGCCCCCACGTCTGCTACTCATGCAGAAGATTGCTAATTACACAGTAGTAAAATTAACAATCAATTAAAGTAATCACACGTCGTAAACAACTACGTTAATCATTTCAAATAATTCCTTTTATGTCGCATAAAATAATTTACGAGCGATGCAAACGCACTCCAAATCACATAATTCTCACTCCGACGACAGTGTTTCATGTTAAAAAACTGTTTGATTTGGCACCTAACGTGTCCGTTATTCGTCATCAATCAAACAACAAAACGCGAAAACCGTCAACTTCCAATGAAAAATGAGCTCAACGACCGGGATTATTTGGACTACTAATCGAGAAATATTGCGTTTGAAAAATCTCGCGATTAAGTCAAAATCCTAACACCAGTGCTGTTAGCGATTATTTGCTGAAAAAGCTTTTCATTACACTCCACCATTTGATGATGATTTCATTTGGGCCATTATTATTGTGACAAGAGCGAACAACAGTCGAGGAATACTCGATGAGTGTTGAGGTAAATCGAATCAGATTACAAAAGGTGGTGAGGATTGGCAACAAGCTTCCACAAAAGAAATTGTAGAAAGGAAGGATTTTCTCTTTATTAAATAAATACCTTAAAAAATTAGCTGCGTATTTTTTTCTATTTAGCCCTTCAAACCAAAAACTATTTGCTTTACTACAAAAATCACCTTTTTAAGAAACTTTTCCTAAATCTTAAATTATTTCTGTAAGATAAGAAACAAAAAAAACATTTACTTTTTGAACTTCGCCATTTACCTGTTATATTTGAGCTTTAAAATGACTGAATTCGTTATTTATAAGCAAAACATGACAAATTAGTTCCAAACGCCAAAACAAATTTGTTTATTGAAATTAAATTAAAAGTAAACCACTGAATAATGAAAAAGTAAACAAAACATTTTATTTCGTCCTTTCGAAAATGGTAGATGCACCGGGCTAGTAATTAAAATTGTTTTTTGCCTTGTTCTAAAAACTCAAAAAACTAACACTTCATTCAATTAAAAAATATGTAACATAAATTTTGATTATTTTAGTAAAATCGTAATATGAAAACAATTCAGTAAATTTGTAGTTTACTAATTTTCTACTTTCCTTCAAAAATCTATTAAAAAAAAAACAACTCATTAAACTAGTACTTATACAGAGTGCGCCAGAACTCGTGCCCCAGAGAAAAATGCAATGTAAGGTGGGATACTAAGAACACGGAAAAAATGCTGAAAAAATTCTATCTATAAAAATTTCGAAGTTATGAGAGTTTAAATTTTGCACCTTGACTCTATTTCTGTTGTAAAAATAGTTTTCCATTTTTTTTGCTACAGACTATTAGAAGAGGAAACAAAGAAGTTGTATTCTAAATTGTAACTTTGTTTAATGTTATTTGTGGTTTTTATTGGCAATTTTTTTACCTTCACTAAATAATTACAAAAAAAAACATACACAAAATCATCATTATCAGTAACTAGACAAAAAAATGTCAAATGTAAAAACTAAATGTTAAATTTTTTTGGCAGATAAAATTTTTTCAACATTTTTTCCATGTTCCTGGTGTCTTATCTTACTTGAAATTTTTCTCTAAGGCGCAAATTCTGACGCACCCTGTACACTTATACAGGCTGTCCCACGAGTAATAATGAGCCTGAAAATTTTTTTGAAGCAACCAACATTACATTTCATAGATAACGTGGATATTAAAATATTTCGTTTTAATTAGTTAAACATAGTAATCGTATTTTCTTTTTTGACAGTCAATATGACTTTGCTCTAGTTTTAGGAAGTCTGTCTATTTGGATATCACGCTGGATAAAAACGTAAAGTCTGCGAAGTGTTTTTCAAACATTCTTCATAAATGAGAATCTTGTTGGTCTTTTCGGCAACATTTTAGTAATTCTCACCAAATTCTCCAAGGTTTGATGTCAAAGTTGAAGTGCTGTTTGGTCACTATGTTTAATTTATTAAAACTAAATATTTTAATATCCACGTTATCTTTGAAATGTAATGTTGGTTGCTTCAAAAAATTTTTCAAGCTCATTACTATTCGTGTAGAAATAAATCTTTTACTGTTTTAAAATTAGCAATTTACCAATTATAAGAGTACTTAAAGATGCCTGAAATCGCCATTTATTTGCAAAACAAAATAATTCATTTCAATCACCAAAATAAATTAGCGTACATTTGACACAAAATTTAAATTATTTTTGTAAAACGTTAAAAATTTAGTTTTTGAAATAAGCTATTTAAATAAATGTGAATAAAGCAAAAGAATTGATTTTATTTGTGGTTTATTAACTTTAAATTAAAAATAAACTACTAAATAATAGTAGTATTATTTCAGCATTTCAAAAATGGTGGATGCGCCGGGTCAGCAATTAATACTGCATCATTTCTAAATTTGTACATCGTTTCTCTTTAATTCAACAATGTTTTCAGTTAACATAGATATTTCATCGGTTTTAAGCTAACAAATGTGACAATACTCATCAAAAATGTATATTTTTTATGACAGTCTGTACAATAAAAGCTACATTGAGATGTAATTTTAACCAAAATGAAATTGTGTAATTGAATTTGTGCTTCTTTTACAACAGGAATATGAAACAGTGGTAATAAAACCAGTCTGCTTCTATTCGGAATTGGGAAAATATTTCCGGAATTTAAGTTATTATGTAATAATCGTTGTCTTATCTTTAATTAAACAGAAGCTTTGCAAATTTTCAAGAATAAAGTCGTAAAGTAATTTTTCACATCAGAAAACCTCGAATTTAATTATTTCCCATTCGACAAAATCCCTTTTTATCCAACACAATGCGTTCTTCGCACATAATACATCCAGGTGCTTCCAGTAAACTATTTTACAACAGTCCTTAATCAAAAACGATGACGTAAATGCAAATAATGTTGCTCAATTTCGGTAACACCGTGCGATTTCTCCTTTGTCTTGGCTCGAATTTCAAACAAGTGTCAATTTACATAAAAAATCAAAATTGTTGATTTTAGGCCTCGATCGCTTCATTACGAAATAATGCCCCTATTTGCTATACTAATATTTCGCTAATTATACAAGTAAACTTAGTCTGGAGTTAAACCAATATTGAACGTTGGGCCGCTATTTGGCTTCCCTTTGAGGATATATCAATTGCAAATGTCTGAATTTTTTGCCACCAACGCAACGTTTCACTAATTTTATATAACGTCAAGACGTTATTACATCACTCAGAAATCTTATTTCACGCATATGAATTCTGAGATGGAATATGTGGAGGCTGTACAAATGAAAATTGTTGGGGTAATGTTATTACTCCCTCGTTTAGGTGCGTGACTCAACAGGAGGTCTTATTATTTTAGATCAATTCGGTTTTAAGCAGCGAGTTTTCACTGTCGAATTTAATTAGTTTTTATTAGGAGGATGGCACGGCATGCATCAAAATGTTTCATAAAGTTAACACTTCAATTTAGGGAAGAGGAGATTTATTAGTCGGTTAACTTTTCATGTGAATTATTCAAGCGGTGGTGAAAGATGAGCGAAATGAAGAAGGGTGATTGAAACACCCACAAAATCACCCGTTTTAACACTCCACATGATTAATATTTACAGTTCGCCACACGGCCGGCCAAACAAGTACTCAATGTTAAATCTTTAAAATTCAAATTTTCAAAAAGTTTGCTAAAAAATTGGTAAATTTTTGAATAAAAAACCATTTGATTTGATTACACCAGTAATAAATTTAATAATGAATCATACTGCCACGTACAGTAAAATATGGTTTAGTTTATATCGTAATTACTTCATACTTATCCCAAAACAAAAATATTTGAAATATGAAAAAAAGATAAGACTAAGCGATTTTTGCATAAACAAATTACTTTACAAAAAAATAATTAGTATCAAGTATGATAAAAATGTAATCGTTTTAAAAAAATAAAATTTTTCTTTTAGGTCTCGAGTTTTGCAATTTTTTTTTAAATGGGAATCCACTATAAAACCTTTTTTTACAAAAAGAATGATTATTCAAAAAGTACAATTATCTACATTGTATTGAATTTTTATCGAAAAAAGTTTCATACAACAAATTGCCATTTTGAAAAAAAATCGCCAACTCTCGAAAACAAAATTTTATTCTCGAAACACGATCACGCTCTAATTTCTATTAATTACACTTGTTTACACGATTTTTATACCTTAGTTAAAAATTACAATTTCTAATAGATTTTGAGACACTGAGTTGAAAAAAAAATATTTAAAAAAGTCCACCAGTCACGTTTAAGAAATATGTAATTAACAAAAATAATAACCGCCAAATAACAAATTAAAAATGAGTGATTTTGTTTGTTTTTTATATATATATTTTTTTTTGGATCAGTTTCCTTTATAACAGTCCAACAGTTTCCATATTTTCATGTTCGTCACTCATGGTAGCTAAGTTTTTAGTAAAAAGTCCAAATGTAAGTTAATGTTAAGACCCATTTAGACCCATCTGGTGATAGTTTTGCAAGAATTCAGCAACAGTTTCAATTTTAAATAAATTTTAAATCAGGCATTTGTGCGAAAGCAGGAAAATTTTCGTTCGTAACAAAAAACTGTGACGTCATAAACAAAATTTAAAAATTATTTGTTTAATTAAAAGTACATAAACATAAAAATAATAATTTGACAAAAGTATATTTAACAAGTTGGTATACTCGTTTTCATATTGCATCAAAGTAGTCGTTGAAAGGGATCATTTTAAGGTGGCAATTCAAATGATCCTAAACTCAATCTTCCCTAAAAATTATTTTTCCAAATAAATGTGTACCCCAGGTAGTAAAAAAATATTAAAATAAACAACGTAATTAACATGGGGCAGTAAGCATAAAGATTTTTGTCATTATTGATGTGATTAAATTTGTTCTGAATGACATTACTGACACTCTTTGTGTGAATCGGCCTTTAAATTAAAGATGGACTTCCACAACCTACTTGATGCACATTAATATGAAAAAGAGTATACCTAAAGAATTCAATAAATGTAACTAATTATTTAAATATAGAAACTGTACTGATAGCAGAGTCAATAAACAGCTAAAAAATTTGTGCATTTCTGGAATTTATTAAGTGATATGTCAACGTTGAGATATAAATTTTAAATAAAATAGCACTACGTTATTATTGATCAATTTTATTTGATTTTGTTTAAAGTAAACTTTATCTTGAAGCGACAGGCTTATGCCAACGTTAAATTCAATCATCAAAACTCTTCTCATAAACAGAAGAAGGTATGGCTTTCAGTTCTTTCTGCGAATTTTGTTTTATGTCTTTTATGAAGTCAAAATGCCTTCCTCGTGAAGTAATTTAAGTTTAAGAAACGGTAAAATGTCACATAGGACCATGATAGCTGAATACAGTGCCTGATTGATGACAATTTTTGAATTTTTAAACTTAAGTGACGATTTACAGTCATCATTTCTTTGATTTTCTTTACATTTTCTCTGTTTTTGCTGTTGACGATCGTTCAGAACGAGGAATGTCGGTGACTTCTTTTTGGTCCAATTAAATGTCTTGTACCACTCATATGCTTGTGTTTTAGACATGCATGAGTCCTAAGAGGTTTTTTGCAAAATTTTCAGTGATTTAATACACTACACGGCCAACACAAAATTTTAAGCGAATTCTCTGATCGGTAGTGGAATCCATGACTAAAATCGCAAGTCTGATTTAACCACAAGTTATGACAAAAACAATTTTAAACAAACCCCTTGAGCTATAGCGGTAAAATTTGGCTTGGTAAGAGAGTATGGTTGTACAGTTGCAGAATTAAAATTTCAGGCAGTATTGTCATTTTCATAACGTAAAGTCTAAAACAACCTTTACATTAATAACCTTATTTTTTTACTCTTGTCATGTTTATGTCATTTTGACTTATTTACTTTCAAAATAGTGATTTGTAGCATAAAAACGGGTAAGCGGGAGATCAAAGCAAACTTCAGGTTCAATTAATAAATTTTCTAAGACAGACAATTTATTTAATTAACAATATTAACAAGAAAAAAGAGTTTAATTGTAAAATGTCAGTCATGATGACAGTAAAAGGTAGTTTACAGTGAAAATTTTAAAGTTACAGAAAAATACTGCCCGAAATTTTAATTCCGTAACTGTACCAATATACAGTGATGGACAGTGAATTTCGTCCACCCAATTTCTGTGAATTCACAAAAATTCACTGTAGTCTGTGCTTTATTGTCATGATAATTGACATTCAAATACGAATTGTCAAATTTAATCAAATTCGAACATGAAGGTACAATGAACAAAAACACGATTAGCCCGTCACACCAAACTTTTATTTTAATAGCACAACGCGTTTCGACCACAAAGTGGTCATCCTCAGGTGAGAATAAAACTAACTAATTTAACAATGGTAATGCCTTATAGGTACAAGAAGGTATGTCTCAAAGACGTGTCTCTATACTTTTGGGCATACCAAGGACTACCATTTCGAAGGACAAAGGTAAAAAGTAGCAAAAATTATCGAGCCTTCTGTCAACATGACAAACGTTAATCAAAATTCTGAAACAAGGTTAGGAAAACCTAAAGACTAATTTACACTTTTAATCTGTCAAGGAAATTGGGTGGACGAAATTCACTGTCCATCACTGTACCAGACAAAAGCTCTTTAAATCGAAAATTCGCGATACTTTTTTTACAGAGTAGTATTATATTTGGTTTGAAAAATTATACTAATCTTGTAACTGACAAAAAATTTGCAAATTCGATAATGTAAGATATGTACGGGGGTGAGCGGCTATGCCGCGAGCCCTCATCTACATAACATTTGCGAATCCGATAGGATTTGACCACAGTGTATTTTTCTATTATCGTTTTGAGGCAAAATTGATATAAATTACAAAATTGCATAGAAATCAAATAACAAGACTAAAACAACATTTAAAAATCAATTTTTGCAAGTATGTGATATTAATAAACAAAAAAGTACTACTTTAATGTTGTTGGTGTTAAAATTCTTATTTTATACTTTTTAATACAGCTGCAATATTTAAATGAAAAAGTTTGATATCCTGAAAGCCTTCTTCCATCTGTGTAAGTCCTCATCAAAAGTTTAAAATTCACCCTGTATTCTCGTCATTAGAGCCAAAAGTCGTACTTACAGACATGCAGAATAGTCTCCGTCGCCATTTCGTGTATAAGCTCATCCACAAGCTCGCTGTCAGCCGAATACAATTCATGTTGTGAAATTTGCAGATGGAACTTCTCCAAGGCGGTTGCATTCTCCCTGAAAAAAGAAAAAAATACTCTTTCAACTTTCGCAATAAATCCAATTCATTCATTGCAAACTTAAAGTAAACGATGAATATTGTAAAAGCCATTGATAAAAGTCGAATTAAGACATGTAATAACACGAGTTAGGTTTATCGGGACGAACATTAGCATACAAACTGGCGACATCAAGACATCAAGCTTTTGATCCCGAAAGCGTATCGATATTAAGTGATTGATCGCCGGTTTGCGTTCGCGACACACGAAAATCGCATAAAATTATTTCAGAGTTAAGCGAAAGTGGATTTTCCGAGAAGTAAACAAATTTTAAAACGTGACGGTTGTCGTGAAACACAGACTTGAAACCGGAGAATTAGTATTCCGGTTGCAAGACAGCAATCACTATACAGGGTGTTAAAAAAAGATTCTAAAATATTTTAGGAGGTAATAGTATGGACCAAAACAAACAAAAAAGTCAAGGTAACGGTTTTGGCTTGAAAAAAAATTAAATAAACAATTTAAAGAACAAAAAAATTAAAACGAAAAAATGAAGTAAAAAACTGAGGATGTCAAAAAAACTAAAGAAAATAAAGATGATGAAGGAAAGAAGATTTAATTGATTGTTTCTTACATTTTATTCTTTTTTGGCTTACATATTACTTACCGAATGTTGTAAACCTCTTATGCTTTTTTTTCTTTTTTTTAAATATTCTTACAATTTTTTAAAGTAAAACTTGGTCTTGTATTTAATGTGTATTTTTTGTATTTTATTCTCTTATTACAATGTAAAACACAAAATTAGTTCCTTTTGTGTAATTTTGACACCAATAAAAAAAGATTTACGTCGACTTAAAATGTTTTAATTATACGTACTTTGGCCTATTGTAACTATCGTGATTATATTAAGTACTAATATTTTTAAATAAAAAAACGTGGTTTTCTTTGCTTTGCCACCGACGACCAATTTTGAGTTCACTTGAAGTGTTTTGGATTAAATAAAAACTTGCAAACTTAATCCGAAGAAAATGAGATCAATTATTTTAATAAAAATAAGATACAAAAAAGTAAAATTTAAGAATAATATGCCGAAGTAGAATCAAAAAATGCTCATGCCATAATAAAAAAAAACAATCCGGCAACACAAAAAATAAAGAAAAAAAACAGTGGTTGAAACAAATCCTAAAACGGTAATTTAACAATTAAGAAAAGATATAAAAAAATTTAGGAAACAAAAAATTAAATCGATGCAATTAAAAAAAAATGTATAACAAGAAAACCAGATAAAAAACTACGACTGTCAAAAAAAACTGAAGAAGATGAATATAATAAAAATGCTGAAAAAAGTTTATTCGTCTTACTTCATGTTGTAAAGCTCTACTATTTTCCTCATTTTTTTAATATCCTACAAATTTTTAATGTTTTTAGAATTCTGGTGTGACGTTTAATATGTATTTGTTGTATCATAATTCTCATTACGATGTAAAACAAGACAGAAATGAAGAAGTCTTAATAAACATCGATCTGCAAAGCAACGGTTTCGAAGATATCAAAGATTGTTTGTTTTTTTCAGAAACTTTATTTGCAATCTGTTCAAACAAAAAAAAAATCTAAAAATTTTCACATTCGATATCTTCGAAACCGTTACTTTGCGGACCCATGTTTATTAAAACATTATTGTTTATTTTGGTTCATATTATTACCTCCTTAAATATTTTACAATCTTTTCACCTCACCTTATATTTGTTTCGCTGCAAATAGAAATTTTTCTTCTACTCCCATTATTATAAAATTGCTGCATAATTAAACTTGTTAATTACGTTTTTCTGCCGGAAAAATATCAAAATCGAACAATTAAAACTTAAATGAGAAGCCTTGGTGCTAAATAAATGAAGGATTCGACTTAAAAATAATGGAATAATAAATTAAATTTGAATATGGCGGCTAGGACAATGAGGATAACGTCGTGACGTCCTTCATTCTCTACCGATTCCGGGTCTCCCTTTCGCGTTAATTGATATTTGATTATACTCTTAATCCGACTTTAGCCGCAGTTGATTAACTTCGCCGCTTCTAATTTCGACGACAATAACATTAAAATAATTGTTTTCGAGGTGTCAGATGCCGAAAGGTCGCGTTTAATTATTCGTCAAGGCATTACGTATTCTGTTTTGTTTTAATTTCATAATTCACCACCTAAATATGCAATTATTTGTCTGAAAATTCATGAAATGTAATTTGGCCGATTTTCAGGACTGCCGTCCATTTATATCTATTGTTTTTGAATTAATTAAAATTTTGCTTGATTTACTAGATTCTGCATCTGATGTCCGACATTAAATTAGAGCTCAGAGTTCTGTTTGTGATTTCGTTTTATTTATTGGATTTGGTCAAATTGAAATGTGATTTTGTGCTTCTTCGAATCAGATTATCTGCAAAACTGCGGTTATCAAAAATTGAGAGAAAAGATACAGTTAAACAAAATTCCACTAAGTTCTCAATTATTAGCAGAATTGGAGCATTTCGTGTCACGTTTTCGATTCGTTTTGACGCTTTATCACATTTCGGGAGCCTCGACAGTTAATTAAATTATCTCTTTGTCAACGAAACAAACTCATCAATAAATTATTTCGGTCTTTATGAGTTTATTATTGGACTCATCAATATTTGCAATTGTTTATCAAAGGGTCGCAGCCACAAATCCAAAATATTAATCATCTAATCGATTAACATCACTTTTTGTATCAAATTAAATGAAAATATTATTAACCTAATCCCAAGGCAATAACAAGTCATTTCATTAATAGTCAGATAATACACATAATTTGTATTGTGCAATAATTCTAGAACCATTGCGCGCATAAATAATTCACAAACACAATTTGACAGAAAAAAATCTTTTTTTTTTGAATAATTTATCTTTTCGCCAATACTGTCTTATTAAATTTGTCAACACTGTGTCTTGGTCGATATCCACCCACGCCCAATCCCACCAACGCATAATTGATCCTTTATCTCGAATAAAACTCCGAGTGTTAACAATTAATTTTGAAGGGGGCTAAATAATCCAGTCAAAAATCGAAAAACGGCACATTTTAAGCAATCGAAATCTCATTAAACTTCGTTAAATAATCCAAGTGAGCAGTGGAAGTGGTACTTGGACAATAACACACTGTGAAGGGTCACGCAAATTGCTGAATGCTCCAGCGTTTAACAATTCAGATCATCATTTATGCATTGGAATCAATGCTGGAAGTTTATTACGGCAATCGATTTCGAAAAGTGTCGGTGGAATAGTCAAAACTCGGTTAGGAGGCGACCCAAAGTCGCACCTTCCGAACTCATATTTTAAGTCAGGACGTTTGAGTAAAAGATGGGTGACCTGGTGTAGGCCAGCTCAGCAGGGCGAACATAATTCAGTGGGACAATGTCGGGGTATCAACGAGGAAGATAAACGAGGGGAAAGGTTAAGGTGGAGGCGGGAGGCAATCAAAGCAAGATTTTGGGCCAAAATTTCTAGAAAATGACCATAAAACCGACCAGAATTTCAATTAAGCGCAGCAAAAGCTCATTTCAAGAAATATTCTTGTCCATGTTGTCCATAAATTTTAGGAAAAATTAAACACACATATTTATATCATTCCATAATTTTTCAAAATCATGGAATCGTTTTCTAGAATCCGAATTTGGCACTTTCTCTTTTTTTTTACAAAAAACCAATACTGTTTTTTAATTGCTTGTCAAAATTCTTTAAAATTAAAAAAACTCCGTCTTTCAAAATATTAAATTAGTCTTAATTAGAACATTGCACATGTTTTAAAGCACTTAGGCGACACTCATTCAAATAGTTATTTATTTTAATTTTTCTCAGAAAAATCAAGAAATTCGGGGTAACGATAAAAAGCTCTAATCCAATATACTCATACACTTGAGTGCAAAAAAACGCAAATTGTCAAAAACAAAATTGTCTAAGTTTTCAGAGATTTACATAGTGTGAAAAGGTTGTATCCAAAAAAGTTAGAAAACCATTAAAAGAAATGTCGTATTTGGTAATAGTGTCATAGTCAGTGTTAAAAACGAAATGGAAAAACTTGATAGCAGTTTGGAAAATGCCTGACAATTATGAGATAGTGAATTGTGAGAAAGACAACGTCAAAAAGCTGGCATTTATTAACAGGCCAAATTACATTATAAAAAAAATCAATTTGCGTTTTTTTTGCATTCAAGTGTACGTACATACACATTTAAAAAAAAATTATTTCTTGCGTATCTACAACGCTTTTAACGCTTTTCATCTGAAGCAATATTAAAATTTTTCATTTTTTCGATTCTTGGCAAAATTTTTATCGATTTTCTATCTTAAATGAAATATTGTCCTGTGCACTTAACAACAAATGACCAATATTGCGAATTAATTTCAATGTAAAAAGTTTAACTTTTTTGTTCAAAAACTTGTTTTATTTAAAAATCCTCATTTATTTTCTTAAAATCCAAATTTTCCACATTCTTTTTTACAGAAAATTCTGTTTTCCATAAAACTTGTGAAATTGTTTGTCAAAATTCTGAAATATTAAATTTAAATTATAAAAAGTGTTTCCCAATAATTTTGAAAAACCATTTATTTGCTCAGAAAACAAAGTTAAAGTTTATTTTTTTTATAAATCCAATCACAATTTTAATAGAGCGCATCAAAAACTCACCTGAAGACCAGTGAATATTTTTTTCACTTAGAAACACCATTACTTTTCTTTATTTTTATTTATTTATTTAATATCATAAAATCATTACTTGATGTCTTTAACTTTACAGAAACCAAACTCTGTTTTCTTTCTCAAAATGTTCCATTTTGTCCAAAAGTCAATAAATAAACCTAATCAAAATTTTAATAAAGCGCAGCAGCTTTTGCTAATTAATTTTTTTCTCGTTTTTCTCAGAAAATACAATTATTAAACAAATTTGTCAATAATTCCAAATTTTATTCTACTATTTCAGAAACATTTTTTTAAATCAAATTGTAGA